AAATCTGTTTTCCAGAAAGTACAGTGTTCCTTACAATTGAGGATGGAGAGACTTTTTATCTCCTGTAATTCAGACATGTCATCAGGAGGGACCTGTCTCTAGAATAGTATAAACACTAAACACAGCAAGTGTGTATTGTTTGGAAATGTGTCCATAACAAGATTTAAGTGAGCGCTGCAGTTCAGACTAATCCCTAAAAACAAAAAAAGCATTAGAAGGTAAAACAGTTGAAATCCAGTCTTTCGAAAGTGAACCAAGTAATGATTTCAAAGGATTTAATGACTTCATTACACATAACCAGGTGCAGCCCATTCTGACTCCTGTGATCACGTATGCGCCAGTGTAAACTTTATGCTCTGACTTTTCCAATTGCTGGGTTTTCAGATTGGAAGGCCTTTCTTGAGGAACCTCGGGTGAACTTGAACCACCATTCTTCAAGTGCGGTTACCTTTATTACACGCTGAAACCCAAAGCCACTGCCGTCTGTAGACTGACTCCACCATATACATTTTCTGAGCTTGTCAATCAGTACAGGAGCAGAGTGCCTCATCTTTCTCTCATGGAGCAGCTGGTGAGTTTGAACCTCTGACCTTAAGGTTGTAGTTCAAAGTTTACCCAATAGCGCCACAAGGACTCCTTTTATTACACCTAGCAGCAGGTACTTAATATTCAAGTAATACTATCTAGAATTGTTTTTTATTATTATTAAAAGATAACACCTGGCTGTCTAGGTACTGCAAGTTTATAGAAAAATTGAGTTAAAAAACTGGAATATTTTTCTACGCACTTTGTGAAAGCCCCTCGTATCAGTCACAGGGATGTTGACAGAGGGCGATGCATACTTTTCAAAATTGGATTTCCTTAATTGTACAGTTGGCTTTTTATATTAGTGAGCTCTGATATGGCCAAAAGGTTTGAAAAGTCACGTAAAACCAAAAACCAAACACACTGCTATGGAGTCAATTCCAACTGACAGCGAGCCGATAGGTAGGTCATGGTAGAACTGTCCGTGTGGGTTTAGACTTTAACAGTAACTGGAGTAGAAAGCCTCATCTTCCTCCCAAGGAGTTGACCTGCTGACCTTGCAGGTAGCAGCCCAACATGTAGCCACCACAGAACAGGGCTCCTTGAAAATGATGTAGCAGACAAAAACGAAGCATATTTGAAAGGAAATTTTTTTCTTGTCTTATAGGGTGGCTGAGTCAGAATCAACTTGATGGCAGCATTAAAAAAATTTTTTTTTAATGTCATCTTCTGGAAAAGTTTCTAATGTCTAGGATAAGTTAAAATTCTTTTCCTTTCTGATCAAAACAGATAACAGCTAAATCAGCATCTGCTAATGGTTATTCAGACTAAGTCAGCTTTCACAGAGCCCTGGTAGTGCAGTGGGTTTCCTCATCAGGGGTGAACTGCAGGGTCAGCAATTCCAAACCCCAGTTGCTCCACGAGAAAGATGAGGCTCTCCACTTAGAAACCCACAGGGCCAGTCTCACCCTGCCCAACAGGGCTGCTCTGAGTCAGAATTGATGGTGGCAATGAGCATGGTTTTTTGCTTCGTAAAGTTCTATAGGAATGTCTTAACCTATTCATCTTTGGGTGAGACTTTGGTTATCTTTCACGTTTCTTCTGCTTCAAGCCTTATCACCACAATCCTAGAGCGTATTTTGGTGGCCCAGAGGTATTGAGATAATTGAAAACTTTGACCTAAGAAAACATTTTTCCGAGATCAAGAGTATTTCCTTTCTTTCACACTGTAGTCAGAACAAACTGCTTGCCTATCCATATTCCATCACTGGTTAAGTCCTACAGCAGTTTACCGTATATTTTCCATTCAAAAACTGTTGAAAAAGCACATCAGACTTGCTTTTAACAATGGATGACAGACATTAGCCAGGTGTTACCACTTGCTGCAGTAGCTGTTGGGTGATAAAAAACACCAAAATACAACTTTGTAAATATTAACACCATAAACAAACAAATTGTCATTGAGTCAATGGCTACTCATACTGACCCTGTAGGACAGGGTAGAACTGCCCTGTGAGTTTCAAAGGCTAATTCTTGCCGCACCCCCTTTCTCCCTGGTTTTGAACTGCTGATTTTTCAGATTGAAGCCCAATTTGTAACCACTATGCCACCAGCGCTTCCAAAGCACCATAGTTATCTAAAAATACAAGTACTCATGAATTGATATCATACAAAGAGAAAACAAGGTCTTTTCAATTGTATTCTACTTTTGTCCCATCCCTTTCAATATTTGTATCCTCTTTTGTGCCTAGCAGAGCTCCCATTAGCAGAGCTCCCATTTCAAACGTTAAAAAAAAAAAAAATACAGTCTTGTCTTTTCAGTTTAGTGGGACAACCAAAGATAAAGCCTAGGTGGTGAGGGGACCTTTCTAGTCAACAATTGAAGTGAAACCTGGCATTCTTTTTGATAGATGGAGTGAAACTAAAAAAATCAGGTAACAAGTTGAATACAGTACTCAATGTTCGATCAAAGACCTGCAAGAGACTACAATGGATCGTTTTCTTCTGATAGTGTGGATGTGAATCTATTAGTTTTGTTTTGCTGGGAGTCTTCAAAGGGGAAGCCCCCAGCCCCCCTCCTACCCCTCAAGCAGAGAGAGGCTTCACCATGGTCCTTCCTCAGTGACCACACGGCTACTGTGAACATTATGTTTAGGATTTGGGTGTTGTAGACATTGACAGGTTATTTTTTTGGGATCTGGGTACACTAAAATTGTTTTCCTATGTAATCGATGGCAACTGCTTCGTCGCTTCTGAATTTTCACCTTATGAAAGGTTTCAAAGGAACACCATTTTCTGATGGCAGGGGAGTTCATGAGAAGGTTAAACAACAAAAACTGGAACCTCAAATGGCCTTTTCTTTTCAAACCCTAAAAGGCAGTCTTCATTTGTTTCTACACCTGTGCTCCCCCCAAGTCCTGTTAATCAAAGCCACAGGGACACAGCCTGGACAGTTACATGTTAAGGCTGCGCCCTTTGCGAATAAGCTCCACCTGTTGAGGTCAGTGGGTTCACTGGGCTGGGCTGCGTCTTCCCCTCCAGGTCAGGAAGCCCGCAACCACTCCCTCTCTAGAGAAGTCTTCCAAGTCCTTAGTTCACTGCAGCCATCTGCAACATCTGCCCGACTAGCTCGCCGCTGGTCCTCCAAGGGGAGAGGGGACCGCATGGCGGCCACAGTTGCACTGCACAAAAGACAACGCCTATCTCGAGGCACCCCCTCCCCGCCCGCCTGGCGCAGCCCCCAGCGGTTCCCGGCGCTGGAGCATCCCTCCAGAGCGCGCCGGGGGCGAGCCCAGGTGCGGCAGGAGGAGGAGGACTCCGCGGAAAGCCACGAAGAAAGCCTGACTCATGTCGTGACGACGGCGGCGGCGCACTCCTGGGAACTCAAACTCGTGATGCTGCTGCTGCTGCGGAGAAAAGCCTCCTTATCCATTCCGCAGGCGGGGACACCACCCAGGGCGCGCACACCCGCCACCTGGGTTCCAGCACCCTCCGCGGGCCCCGCCCCTCTTCGGTGCGCCCCCTCCTCTGCCGCGAGCTCGCGCGCCGGCCGCGTGGGAGAAAAGAGCGGACACACCTAACCCGGCGCGTGCGCGCGCGCGCGCGCGGCCGCGGTCAGTCAGGCTGCCCCACCCCCACTTCCACTCCGAATCCCACAGTCCGACCCGGATCCGCTCCCTCGGACGACTCCCCACACCCACCACCCGCGGCGTCGGCGCCTCCGCCAGCCTTCGGCAATTTCCGTCCAAGGACCAGGCGCTCGGCAAGGTCCGAAGACCCGCCGCCGCCTCCCCGGCCAGACGAGGCTTTATGTCTGCGGCGCCGGGGCGCATGCGCAGACGCCATCTTCCTTCCGTCTCCCTTCCGCGCCCCTCCCCCCGCCACCGCCACCTCCTCCTCTCGCCGGCAGTCGCCCCTCCTCCTCCTGCGCTCGGGCGCTGGTCCCTCCTCTCCCAAAGCCGCGAGAGACTGGGGGATACGGCGGATACGGCGGAGCCGGAGAAGAGCACTAGTAACAACCACCACAGCCCCCTCCCCGCCCGACACCCTCCCCTCAACACCCACCCACTCACCCGCCCCGTCGCCGACACCGACCAACCCCACCTCTCGTTCCTTTGAACGGCGTCGGCTGCAGTCGCTGCACCAGCCCGTCTGGCCACCAACGCCGCCGAGCTAGGAGCCGCCGCCTGCGGCCCCCTCCCGCCTGGGCCG